TAGCTGGCTCCTGTAGCCTAATGGCATGTCTTCTTCAATCTTTGAGCCATTTCTTACTTTTTAGCGCACATAATACTAGGCTTACCTTTTCTCTTTCCCAGTCCTGGACTCAGACTTTTCTCTAAGCAATACTTTGTGAATGTATTTTGAAACCAAGACTTGAGCTGTAGGTGTATTCATTGCTTCTAGGCCCTCTCAGCAGACAGAGCTATAAAACATATGTACGTTTATGTTCATTTATGTGAACAAATACATACATCTTTACCTATTTATATATCTATATCAGAGGCTGACAAACTATAGCGCAAGGACCAAATCCAGCTAGTCACCTATTTTTGCAAATGAAGTTGTACCGGAATAGAGCCATGTCCATTTGTTTATATATTATCTTGCCTTACAACTGCAGGATCAGTTGTGACAGAAACTGTATGGCTCCAAAATAAAAATATTTACTATCTGGCCCTGTATGTAAAATGTTTGCCATCTCCTGATCTTTATGAAAAATCACAAGGAACTCCCTTCTCTGACAATGCAAATCCTGCAATTACTCTCAACATATTCCTTTGTATAATTCCCTTGTACGTGAGCTATTTCCCAAATCCACCAGCAAATCCCTTCGGCCCTGATGAAGGAGAAGGCAATCTTTAAATGTGATTATCTGGCAGGGCAAATATCCCACTTTATTGTTTTTTACCTTTTTAAAATAATCTACTTGCCCTGGCTGGTTTGGCTCACTGGATAGAGCAGTGATGGTGAACCTTTTGAGCTCGGCGTGCCAGCATTTTCAAAAACCCTACCTTAACTCTGGTGCCGTGTCACATATAGAATTTTTTTGATATTTGCAACCATACTAAAACAAAGATTTATATTTTTGATATTTATTTTATATATTTAAATGCCATTTAACAAAGAAAAATCAACTAAAAGAAATGAGTTCATAGGTTCACCATCACTGCCCTATGCTGTACTTTACAGTCCCATGATTATTCTGTAACTACCAACTTGTACTTCTTAATCCCTTTT